AGCATCATGAGCACTAACAACTTCCTCTGCAGCGTTGTGCACAGGGATGGGGGTCAGGAAGCAAGCAAACTTTTCTCGATTGATTATTTTTTCCCATCAGTTGGGTAACTCTACCTATCATTCTTGTTACTGTCTTCATCTCCTCTCCCTAACCTCCTCCTTCCTCTGGTGGACACGCCTGCTTGTGCTTCAAGTCTGTTACGACTCAGCGTGTTTTACAAACGTCCTCGAAGGGAGCCGCAGTATTTTCTGTTGAACAAGCTGTCTCTGTAGTATTTGTGAGGGGTTTTGACATTGGCTGCCCAGTTTGGGAAACCTCAGTGACAAATGTTCACATCTTTCTGTTTACAAAGGAGCGAGGTGATGTTTGAGAGCTTAAACCCCTTCAATAAATGTCCAACCTCCTCTTACCTTTTTATTGCTTTATTAAAACATAAAAAGCTTCTTTTTTAAAACACACCAAGTATTGATTACAGCAAGTTCCGAACTAAAGGCCGGCGTATCAATGTTTTTTTTTTTTCTTTTCTTTTTTTTTTTCTTTTTTCTCGGCAATAGGAGCAGATCTGACAAAGTCAAAGGAAGATATGAATAATGTTACAGATGTGTTTTTATATGGGATTAAAGCCCTCATTAAGCCTACGCGCCATATTTCTCTTCCCACATTCTAGTTATTTTCAAAATCCATGTTTAATACTCATTTATGTTTCTAATATAGGTCATGCTATGTTWCATGCTTCAAGGGCAGTATAAAAAGCTCTTCTAAAGATATTTTTAATACTTTTTTGTGCAACTTAAATGATAATTTGACTTAATTTAAAGCAAAAATTGAAACTGCGTTTTCTTGTGTAGGCAAATGTGGTTCATTCACTTAAAACTGTGGTGACCAAAAAAGTATGGAAAGTTAAAAGGAGCGTTGCCAATCTCAAATTTATCTTTCTACTTTCAAAACTGTAATGCTAAAAATGAAAATTCTTGTCATTCAGAGCAAAAACATCCCACTAAGTGTTTCAGTATTAATGTGATTGAGATGTTATAGCATGAAGGTATTTTGGCATTAAAGCAATTATAGAACAAAGTGACTTTTAAAATGCAGGGTAGATGGAATCATTTCAGTTTTAGGTCAAGTTGTTAATTTTTTTTAGTATTTTCATCTTATTTATACAGTTTATTACAAATTTGAGGGCTGAGAACTACACTGGGATGTACAAATAGAAATATTTAAGTGAGAGATGATTTGAATCCTCCAGTTTAGTGCCTTTTTATTTTTGATGTCATTAAAAAATTATTCAGATTTTTAGGAATAAAAGCYTCAGGACCTGCTGGCTGATGAGCAGGTTTATGTTGCAAGTTTTGAAAAACAATGCACAAAAATTCAAAATGGGCTTAATGAGGACTTTTCTCATGTTTGACCTTATTTTATTCACATTTGTTCTATTGTGTAACCTTAGTTCAGTCCATACATGTGTTTTATCTTAATGGTTTATTTATTCTATTGATGCTTGTACAGCAGTTTTGTGCTTTTTTTATAGTAAACTCATCACATCACCATTTATACTGTTACAGTGGATGTAATCACGTTCCACATACTGTTAAACAACTTATGCAACAACAGAAGGTTRGGTTTTGAAACATTTGTCTTCATCAACCAAGTGTAAGACTCAAATAGAGAAGGCCAAAGTTGCAGTGAACGTTTTGGTAGTAATGCAGAATACAGCTTGGTATTTACAGGTTACATACCTGGTAAGTACAGGGTAATAGTACCTGGTAAATACAGGGTAACGAGTCCCTTTATAATACAGTCTAGTCTCTGTGTATCCTGTATGTACTGGGCTGTACTGTGTTTCTACTTGAAGAGGATTTTATTTGAAAAACACTGTGCGYAGAAGTTTGTGATTTTCTCTCTAATAAAAAAAAAGAAAAGCTAATTCTAAATGACTCAACAGTGACTTTGCAGTGATCGTGTAAACTGTAAACCATAACTTGCAGTATTTTCTTATAGAGACAACAGAACCCAGGGTTGTGTTCTCCTAAACTTTTAGGAGCGCTTTTGTTGTTGCTTTGATTCATTGTTGTCTGGACCAAAGGGTCATCAAATAAACCTGTTTTCCAAAATCCGAGTGGTGAACTAAGATTTGAATTTTGCAAAAAGAGAAAAATTTTTCTCGTTTTGGTTTCTGGTTGTTTCTGCGTGAATCTGTTTTGTAAACCATGGTCCGTTAACACAAACACACACACACAGCTCTTCTAACCGTCCAGGAGTTGGTTTGGTAACAAGTTTGTGTGTAATGGAATTCATCCCTATTGTGGTGAACTTGTTGAAATGTTTATCGGGAATGTGGTGAAAGCATTTATTATTTTTAAGACCTCTAAAACAAAACAAAAAAAAACCTTTTTATCCTAATAAAATCAGCCTCTTGATTTTTTCAGGAGATTTTATTCTGAAATTTGCAACTCTGGACCCACTGTAGACCTTTGAACTGCAAATCAGTTTGAAATGAATGAAAAGCAACATCACGTATCAAACTATAGCTCAAAACAGGCTCGTTTTAAAAGAACAAAAACCTGCAGTCATCTATTTCAAATTTGTTTTCTGTATTTTTATATACGCAAGGGGGCAAAAGAGGCTGCACACAAGAATGATGCTATTTTTTTTACTRGTTAGAAAATGTTTCCATACATCTTTAAGTAGCAAATAACATCCCAATCGCCATTTTTATATCACCTGTAAGGGAAAAAAACTGTACATAAAGTTTGTGGTTGTGTGTTAAAAGATGTTTCTGAGTATTAAAATCATGTCTTTTAAGATGAATTTCATCCCTCATCTGTCCGAGAGGACCTGCTGATGGAAATGTGCTTCTGACACAGAAACCTGGAAACCACATTGTAAATAAAGCTCATGTAAACATCCTGTTTGTCTTTTCTGTCTTACTTTTTTCTTTTTTTTATCATTAGTTAGAACCTATTGTGAATAAATCTGTTTGGCTACTTCAGTGTTAAATATTTGATTTTCTCTTTAAAGGTGTATATTGCAAAATTCTGAATATTAGTCAAAAAATAAAACGCTGTATTTAAATGTCAAGCTTTGTCTTAAAGGGGAGTATTATGCAAAATAGAATTTTCTGAGCTTTATTATATTATTCCCTCATCAAAAACATACCCAGAGTGTTGCTTTGACTCATTCATTCATGTTTGAGAAATCCTTGAGACTTCTGTAGCCATGTGGAGCTGCCTAAACACTCGCTGCTACAAAGCACCGCCTATTTGTACAAAGCTCCTCCCTATGGCTCAGTCTGCAGGRGAGCTCCCGCCCCACAGAGCACACCTCATCCGATGCATTATTATGAAGACATGTTGAAGTGGGAGTGTCTGAAACAGTAGGAGGTTCTTAAGAGACAAAGGCCAATTTCAAGGTATTTATATAGACAATGATGCAAAGTCAAATTTAATTTTGATATATACAGTATTTTTATAACTGAAGGTAACCGTTACTTTTTTTTGCATTATATTTTCACCTATTAGCTAGCTTTGAGGTTCTGTGTTTATCCAGTTCCAGCATATTTGTCCACTTATAGACTACAGTCACCTGACTCAAACCTTCACTTGGTTGACAGGTTCTATGGAGTTCTTAGTTTACAGTGAGTGCAAACCCACATTTCAGAGTTTTACATCTGGAAATCACTTGGCATAAACTCTTGCAAACTACACTGTTAGAAATCTGGGTGACTTTTGATGTTTGATTTTACGAGCACCTTTAAATCAAATGCAACTTGACTTTGAAATCCTGTTAAAATGATTGTTTTAGTTTAAAATTGTGCCTCGCAGTTGGGTAATGCACTGAAATGGCTTCTTGTACAAGAAAAATCTCTGTGATAGCAAAAACAACTGAAACGTTTGGCCTCTTGACTCTGAAAAGATTATTATACAAAGGAGAAAGCCCRGAGGCCAAGTGAGTGATTCAGATTATTTTTCAAGCTGCACTCTCTCATCCTTGTATGTATTCCCAGTGCAGAATTAGATTTAGACCGTAACTTGTGCTTGCCAAGGAGACATGTTTTCCTTAATTAGTCTAGCCCAGCATTTTTCCCTCATCTTTCAAATGCCTCTTCAGTCAGTGCTATATTTTGTTCAGTGAAAAGTTGTGAGTTCAGTATCTGCTCCTCCTCTCTGACACAAACTCAGCCCAGCCTGGGAAAACGAAGCCTGGATGCCCCTCGAGGCTGCGGACACAGGAACTTCCCTGTATCAGTGTCCTATTCTTCATTCCTGAGAGCTCCCTTTTCTCTCTCCCTAACCTCAGCCTCTGGGTGCTTCCTGACACAAGTCACAGCAGAGGTCCAGAGTCAATATAAATACTCATCTCTGGTTACTCACTTCTGTCATTGACAATCTGAGAGAGAGATGATGGTTTCAATCCAATGTGGAAATATCATGTTCCCTATCTGGATCGAGGCATGTTTGATGCATCGCTTTCCTCTGGTTAGGACCCAAAAACAAGTTGTTCCTCTCTTAGAAATATGCTCATTCTTGGAAATAACGTCCCAATAAGTGACCATGCTGTTACTACAATGTCTCAAAGAGCACTGAACATATTTAATTAAACTTTCAYAGTGTCACTAGGTTGATATATTTGACTCAAAATGACCATCGCAGCCAAGTGACCTAAGAAAACACAAAAATGGCAATAACTTAGTAAATACAGCGGGTAAAATAAGTATTGAACACGTCACCATTTTTCTCAGTAAATATATTACTAGAGGTGCTAATGACATGAAATTCCCACCAGTTGTCGGTATCAACCCAAGAGATCCATACATACAAAGAAATCAAACCATAAATGTCCAGAAATGAAGTTATTTGTAATAATGTGGAATGGCACAGGGAAAAAGTATTGAACACATGAAGAAAGGGAGGTGTAAAAAGGCATGGAAAGCCAAGACACCAGCTGAACTCTCTCAGTAATTAGAAAGCAAGCCTGCCCCTTGTCAGTGCAAGTTAATATCAGCTGGTTCAGTCCCAAATGATGGCCAGGTATCACACAAGAACCATCTGATGATGGGTAAAAGTAAAGAGCTCTCTCAAGACCTTCACAACCTTATTGTTGCAAAGCATAATGATGGCATCGGTTCCAGAAGAATGTCTAAACTTCTGAAGGTTCCAGTGAGCACTGTTGGGGCCATAATTCAGAAGTGGAAAGAACATTATTTCACCATAAACCGACCACGACCAGGTGCTCCTCACAAGATTTCTGACAGAGGAGTGAAAAGAATTATCAGAAGAGTTGTCCAAGAGCCAAGGACCACTTGTGGAGAGCTTCAGAAAGACCTGGAATTAGCAGGTACGATTGTTTCAAAGAAAACAATAAGTAATGCACTGAACCACCATGGCCTGTATGCACGCTCACCACGCAAGACTCCACTGCTGAAGAAACAGCATGTTGAAGCTCCTTTAAAGTTTGCTGCACAACATTTAAACAAGCCTGTGTAATACTGGGAGAATATAGTCTGGTCAGATGAGACCAACATTGAACTGTTTGGATGCCAGAATACACATCATGTTTGGAGGTCAAATGGCACTGCACATCAGCCCAAAAACACCATACCAACAGTGAAGTTTGGAGGTGGGAACATCATGGTGTGGGGCTGTTTTTCAGCATATGGTACTGGCAAACTTCAAATAATTGAAAGAAGGATGAGTGGAAAAATGTACAGAGACATTCTTGATAAAAATCTGCTTCCATCTACCAGGATGATGAAGATGAAACGTGGCTGGACATTTCAGCAAGACAATGAGCCCAAACACAAAGCCAAGGAAACTCTCAGTTGGTTTCAGTGAAAGAAACTAAAGCTGCTGGAATGGCCCAGCCAATCACCTGACCTGAATCCAACAGAAAATCTATGGAAAGAACTAAAGATCAGAGTTCATAGAAGAGGTCCACGAAACCTTCAAGATTTGAAGACTGTTTGTGTGGAAGAATGGGCCAAAATCACACCTGAGCAATGCATGCCACTAGTTTCTCCATACAGGAGGCGTCTTGAAGCTGTCATTGACAACAAAGGCTTTTGTACAAAGTATTAGATAAATTTCAGTAAGRGTGTTCAAWACTTTTTCCCTGTGCCATTCCACATTATTACAAATAACTTCATTTCTGGACATTTATGGTTTGATTTCTMTGTATGTATGGATCACTTGGGTTGTTACCGACATCTGGTGAAAATTTCATGTCATTAGCACCTCTAGTAATATATTTACTGAGAAAAATGGTGACGTGTTCAATACTTATTTTACCCGCTGTATAACTAATATTGAGCTAAAGTTTTGTGTGGTGAGCGTTGTCTTCAACACAACCCTATATTGCTTTTAACGAGACAAATCATGCTTTTAAATCTTTCTTTTGTACTGTACATTTAAATCATTAATTTGGGCTCTGTATAAAGAGGAACTGCAAAGCTTTGGCCTGAATTCTTTATAGTAACTCCACAAGCCCCTCTTTCACCTCTTATCTCAGGTGTGCCTCCGATCAACTCGTTTTGAGGCTGTCTCTTTAAATCCAAATGAGCCGCTTCACACCCCACCCCCCTCCAGCTTCCAGAGTGGTCCATTCCAGTTGGACAGAGGGGTTTACAGCTTTATGGGGGTAGCTCTGGTGGAGAGGTTAGGGGAGTCGTCCCATAGCCAGTAGGTTGTCGGCTCAATTCCCCCGTTCAAGCCGTCTCAGTCATTTTGTCCTTGAGCAAGACACTTCACCTGCCTTGCCCACTGATGGTGGTCAGAGGGAGGTTCCCATCAGTGTGGGTGAATGGGTGAAGTGTAAAGCGCTTTGGGGTCTGTATGGYCTTGATCAGGTGCTATAGAAGTTCAAGCCGTTTACCATTTATAGCAGCACAGAAATGTTTTTTTTACAAACTGATTAAAAGGTGTTTACAGTGGAAGATGTGTCCATCCAGCCTTACATGTTGGAGCCAGAGGAGAATGAAGACCACCAAATTATAGTCAGTAAGTCCAGACCTTAATTGGCAGTTCTGTCGCAAATAATTTGACGAAATAATTTAGAAACAATCATAGAAAAATTGAGGAAACTGAGCAGTTTGAAAAGGATGACCCAAACAGAAAATAAAGWTATCTTTGCAGCACCAGGAGAGACTAAATTCAACTATTCTGCYGAGACTCCAAGTACACAACAATGTGCATTTAATGGCTAAAAAAGTAGATTGTGCATGATAGTTTAAACCTATGCATTAACTGTTGGAGTTAACCCTTCAGAGTTAAAGTCAGTGTTTTGTTAACAGTTTAAGCTTTACGACACTTAKAATTTTCACTTCAGTCACTGCAATGAGGTGGGCTTGTTTGAGGTCTGCTAATATAAGGCTCCCATTGATGCACACACCAAGACAAACACAAATCAGCTGCTGTTTCAGTATTTGTGGATTGAGGCCTGCACCTGAGCTCCGAGTCTGACACGTTCAAACCCACAAACCCGTGGACAACACCCTCTGACACACACACAGGGAACAAGTTTTTATATTGTGGTTTTTGGCTTAACTTGAAAGAAAAAATAGGTGAGAAGTGCAACGTGTGAACTGGAACCTCTTCCAGTGATGGTTTATAAAAGACTAACTTGAAAGACGAGTGAGGATTTTTGAGATAGAGAGCTTTCCTTTRAGAGAGCTTTCATTATTATTGAAGAGATTTTCTGATTCCTCTGGGGCTTGTTTTGCTTCTCACTGTGTGGAGGGTTTCACATTATCCTGGACAAACACTTCAGCTCCAGCAAACCTCAGACAACTTTTCTACTCTGTTAACATTTTATATAAACAGATTAATATATCAAGAGCTGCACTAGACATGATCATGAATTATAGTAGATTCATTTACAAATCTCAAGACTGGTTGAAAATACTTTATRGTCAGCTCACACTGTGCAATGTTTCAATTTAAACAATAAGGTAACGTGTTTCATTTATTTTTAATTTTTTTATGTTRAGTAACACATGCCATTTGGTTTCGTCTTGGTTTGTGGCACGGCTGACGGCTGCAGCAAGAACAGAGAAAATAGGAAACTCCTGTATCCTTTCATTGTCTTTCTTAGAATTTTAGACTTTCTACGAAAAGCAGATGCTCATAAGAAATATGACACTTGCAGGGTAAACACGAGGAAAATTAATAAAATTAAATTTGACCTCGTTTTCAGATGTCACATCATCTTTTTTGTCCCTTTTTTCCAGATGACTGATTTTGATTGAACTTTCCTTTTTCTTTGTCTTTTTGCAAATACAGAAACAGTTACAGCAGATACTGCCCTCATGAGCACAATATTTCCTCACTGCCCCCTCCAAATCCCCCCTCCCTCGCCCACTATAAGAGAGGCCAAACAGTGAGCCGAAAACCGCTGGAGCAGAGGGATGAATGTCGAAGTGATCTCCTCTGTGTTTGAGCCACAGTGAGTCACACTGGGCAGCGTGACCACTAAATCAAAGAGGTGTTTGAACAGCTGCATTCCTTCACACCCCTTCATCCTCTCACTTGCTGTGCCGAGATACAAGCTCTGGTTTTGCTGCTGACTCCATAGCCCACCCTCCCCACTCTCACCCCGCTCATCTTTCTGGTGCAAGGGGAAGATCTAACTTCATGGAAAAGTGGGGTGAAAAAAAAAGGTGCAAAAGTGAGTTAAGTCATCCTTTGACTGTAGACAGGTGTCTATTAATAAGCCAGAAACAGAGGAACCCTGTGAGGCGTCACAGTACCAACTGTGGCTGATTTATAGAGCTGTGACAGCCCGAGTGAGTCATTATGGAGCTTCTATTTCATTTCACACATACAACTGCCCTCCTCCAGAGTCGTTCATTGTTGAGCCGTGAGTTTTCGGTGACAGGCATGGAAATCGTGGCTGTATGGACACTGAAAGATTTGCTTTGTTGCAGAACTTTGCATGTTTTTGAAACATGCAGTTGTGAGGAAATCAAAAGCAATGAAATAAACTTCATATGACCCATAGTATTCATAACCTACCACAAAAGTGTGTGTGTGTGTGTGTGTACTTCTGTTACAGAGTGAGGACCACTTGCAATATAGTTACTATCAAAGGGAGGTCTTTGATGCAAAGTGAGGACCTCTTTAAGGACCTATATGACACTTGGAGGACCTATTTGCAGCTCTACTGTGCTTTAGTAGTTAGGTTTAGAGGTGTGGTGTGAATTAAATTATGGTTCAGCTTAGGGTTAGGTAAAGACCAGTCATGGGAAAATGTCTGGGTTATGCAAAAATACATTCACAAAAACGAATAGAAGTCCTCTTTAAAATACTTTTTTAATTTCAATTTTATCATTTTAGGACATAACATGAATAATGTATTTTAATTTGATCTCTGTACGTCATGAGCATATGTTTTTTTTTTTTTTTTT